GTGGTTTTCAACCGCACTTGGCGGTTGTCCAGCGTCGAGAGATCAATCCCTCAAGGCGAGTGTCAGCCGACACTTGAGTGTCGAATGCGACCCTCGAGATTAACGAGGGCCGCATGAGTATGGGTACTACATAGTACGCCATCATTGCGACTGGTTGCGTATGCTTGCATTGCGAGTCGATATGAGTTAAACCTGTGTCCGCACGCTGTCTCTTATACACATCTAGATGTGTATAAGAGACAGACCTACGACAAATTGCCTACCACTGGCGTTCCTACAGGTCGCAGGTTCAAGTCTATGGGTTGACACTAATACTGTACACAGGTAAGATGGGGATCTAGGGATCGAGCCCTGGGATCTGCATTCGCTACCGCGAACTGGTGAATATTGTTTCATCATGTCAGGTCTTTTTGAGGATGGGCGCAATCCTAAGTAGCGTGCAGTGCTTCGAGCGATTTGCACAAAAGGCGTGTATGTGGGTATAGGATGTGCTATGTGTGGGTTTTGTCTTTTGCTCGTGTTTTAAATGTTTTTGATGAAGTGGTGGTATCACGGGCGATGGCGTATATGTCAAACTAGTTTTTGTCCGAATATATCATGTCAGGTCTTTTTGAGGATGGGCGCGATCCTAAGCAGTGTGCAGTGCTCCGCGCGATGTCTGAGTGATTAGTCGTATAGTACATTGTTGATGTTCTTGGCTATGGTGCATATGGTGTTTTTGTTTTATGTTGTTGTCTCTTGGCAAGCTTCTCGTGATGAGTCACGAGTATTTGTCGATCTGTACCGTGATGTCCGACGGGTCGTCAATCGTCGTGTAGGGAAAAGCCAGGACGACGGACAGAAAGGCGTGCCTCCTCGTTTTTGTGGAGTGTGTCCTTGTGTGATGTACTCCGCGTTAGTTTTTATTTTTTTGGGGGGGTCTACTAGTACCATAACTTTTCCATATGTGTGGGACTTGCCCGTATATTTAGCCGCTTACATTGTTGGCTTTGTAGGGCGTGGAAGGAGTGGTCCATTTGTTACCCAGGGTTATGACTGTGTGTGTGCGTGTGTGTGTGTGGAAGGGGGGTCGTCCGTCTAAACGTTATGACTTTTTT